AAAGTAACAAGATCAGATAATCCTGCAGGTCAAATGTAAATGATTTTAATGAAGCTATTACACTTGTACTTCTCCCTATATCTGGGCCCTGCAGTCTTTTCTGTCAGATTTGTGTGTTCCAGACTTCAGGCCATTCACTTACAGTTGGTAGCAAACAGTGGCAAACAGCCTATGTCCCCCCATCTTCCCCCGGATGCAGTCCGTGCTCAGTTCCAGTCAACCTCTTTGGGGCCCCCTCAAGGCAGAGACAGTTCTATATCCCTTGCCAGCAGGAAGCAGTTTCAGAAACCAAGATCTTCGTCTCTTACCCCCCAAAAATTTGGGTCCCATTATGTTTGAGGGGGGAATGATGGGATCTGAATGGGATCTGAACCTCTAAAAGGAAAAGACCATGTCTTTGGGATCTGAACCCCAAAAAGGAAAAACCCTGGACTTTCCCCCCTGGCCAAATCTCACTCACTTGGGGCAATAATCCTATCAACTGACCTTTCATTGTGGCTAAGCCCAATCTCCCAATTCTGTTCTGATACCTTCCAATAACCCCTAGTCACTTACCCACCCTAATCCTATCATTCTCCTTTGTCCACGTGGTCCAGGTCCCTGCAGTTCTGTTCACCCCAGCTTACTGGCCACTCCTATCCAGATCCTCCTTAGACCCCTCCTCTCGTCACCCTAAACTACTTGGCCACTCCTAGATCTCTCCCACAGTCTTTCTGTATATAAGGGCCATCTTGTCTCTGTTAAGATGCTCAGATTCTTATAATCTAGCCTCTGCTCAGATTCTTAAAATCTAGCCAATAGCTCACTAATGTTCAGACTCCTTAAGAGTCTGCCCAATATGAAGGATGTTCTAATAAACCTTGTCTTAGGCTGAAAAAAAAAAGATTTTTCTGGGGAGAAGTACTAAGGATAATTTGGAGGAGAGAGAGTAGAGATGGGAAGACCTATAAGAAGCCATTAGTTGCTAATCTGAAGAGTCGTTGTGGTAATGAAGACTAATACTAGGGTGACATTATTGGAAGGCTAGAAGAGGAGATATAAGAGATACAGTAAAAATGGAATCAACAGAATTTGATAAATGACTATGGCAGATGAAAGAGCGGGAGAAGGCAAAGACAGTCTTTACTAACACAGGAAACTAGGTTCCACAGGAGAAAGTTTAGGAAGAAAGCAGAACAGGTTGGGAATCCTGTAGGTTTTTAATGTAATCAGAGGGAATTGTCTTTTCTGAGGAGATCCTTCAAGGCTGCTTTTTGCATGAATGAGTCATGTTTTCTTGATGTCAATAAACAACAAACACTGCAGAATCTTAGATTTTCTTCACTTCTCAATCAGCTATGACTGACGAGTAATCACTTATCACATAAGAATGTGGCTCACTGGAGAAAATTGCCTGGAATGCTTGCCTGCTTCCTTTCTCATTAATGTTGTAATCAATGAATGAATAACTGTTTCCAGTCATGTCTTACTCTTTGTGACCCTATTTGGGGTTTTCTTGGCAAAGATACTGGAGTGATTTGCCATTTCCTTCTCCAGCTCATTTTAATGATGAGGAAACTGAGGCAAACAGGGTTAAATGACTTGCCCAGCGTCACACAGCTAGTAACTGTCTGAGGCTAGATTTGAACTCAGGAAGATGAGTCTTCTTGACTTCAGACCCAGCACTCTATGCATTGTACCACCTACCTGCCCCATGAATATACAGGATATTCTCATAAAGATCTTGTGGTAATGAGAAGGCTGGCATGTGTGTTGGTAGTTCTAATGTGGATTGGGGGGGGTGGCAATTTAGTGTTGTTTCTGCAATGGAAGGCCAAAGACAATGTTTAAAAATTCAAACCAATTCTAAAACGAATACATCTTAAGTCCAAATAGTATTATTACTTTTATTTATGACTATTTGTTATTTTTATTATATTTATTTATTACAATTTATGTATTCTTATTACTGTTATTACTTCACATTTACGTGGTGCTTTATAATTTACAAAGTGGATTTCCTCAAACAACCCTGTGAAATAAGTAATACAAGTATTACTTCTACTTTACAAAGATGCAACCTGAGGCTCAGAAGAAGATAAATGACTTGAGCTCAGTCTCCTGACTGTCAGTTCAATTCTTATTTTCACAGCACCATGCTATAATAACTGGAACTTTTCATTATACCACTATCCTAAAAATGAGCCTGTATAATATAACAAGTTTATCTTTTTGTCCTCTAATTTTTAATATCTCTTCTTTTGTGCTTCTTTTAGGTGTGTTTATTTATTGGCTTTCAAATTTTAAAAAATACATACTTACTTAATACTTTTTTCTATTTTTAATATACACTCATAGGGTTATGATTTTTCCCCAAGGACTGCTTTAGCTATATTCCAAAAATTTGGGTATATTGTTTCACCATTATAATTTTGTTTCATAAAATTTTTCATTGTTTCTGTGATTCAATGGCATCCTATGGCCCACTTGTTATTTAGTATTTTGTTGTTAAGTCTCTATTTGGATTAAAAATTATAACCAATTACAAATGCTCTACCTCTCCAAAAATCCTCATCAAATCAGATGAAATGGTTTCATATAGTTACCTACACATAATGGAAATATACTTCCTACTACAACATGGATGATCCAAAAATTATGTCTTTTCCCAAAAAGAAAAAATGTTTATTATATCAGGCTAATCAATTAATAAACTTACCAAATATTAATATTAGATTATATCTAAACAAATTACATCTTATCTGTGAAAATGAAAAATAGATGCTTTTTATTTTATTTAGCCACATACCACGAAACACAATTATTTTTCATCGGATCATGAAGGATACTGAAATAACCAGATTTATTGTATCTTTTTTAATTGATTTAGTTAATTGATTTTGTCTTGTTAACTAAGTCATTATTCTTTGTTTCTGAATTTAATTCAGAAATTTAGCTGGCCTATAAAGAGTTAAATTTAGAAATCCAGTTCTCCTGTTAATCACTGTTCTATTGTTCAGTCAAGGAAATTAGTTATCTTTGAAGCAGACAAGTGGACACCAGGGAGTCTGGCCTAGTATCTTTATACCACCAAGCTATCCTTCAAGGACGTCTAGTTTGTTATCCAAAGAAGTCTGATTTGTTATCTCAGTCCTTGCAGATGCAGCTGAACTCAATGACCATTTCTTAGTCATACCAAGGAAGAAGGGGGTTGTTGTTAGCATCCACTCCCAATTTCCGTCCAAACACATTTTTTCCCATCTATCATGCTGGCTTTCCTATTTTCTGTACTTCCTAAAACTATAAAAGAGAGCTATCCTCCTTATTTGGGGTTTTAGCTTTGCTGGGGAAGTTGAGATCCTATATATTGATAAATTTGTGCTTTACTAATAAATTGATTATGCTTGGAACTTTGTAGTACCTCAGTACCTTAATTTTAACTGTTACAATACCATTCAATGACTATCAGGTCAACCTGAAAAAAAAGGTACCAAATATTTGTTTACATCTAACCAACTGAATCATATCTACGAAAAGGAAAAAATAAATTCTTTTTACATAGTTGATCAAAACTTTTAAATGTGATTAGTTTCCATGGGATCATGAAAAAAAATAGACAGAAAAATCTACCAATGACATATTAATAGAAAGGAAAGAAAAAGGAATAATAGAATTCATAATTTTGCCTTCCCTTCTTTTGTTCCCTACAGCTCTTTATTAAAAATATATATTGAAAATAATATCTAATTTGATGAAAAACATATTTCAAAATTAAAGAAAAGGTAAGAATACCCTAGATTTAGGGAGAACAGGTTTCAAATAATTCAGACAAATTATAGCTAGGATTCCATGATCCAAGATTCTACAGAGGAAGTCAATTCAAGAAAGATTAAGCTGAAGTCACCAGGCCCAGAAAAACTATAAATTGTAGGATACTGAAGAACTGGTATATGTAATTTCTGAGTCTTTATCTGTGAACTCTTAGAAATCACTGAGAATCAGAGAAGTACTTCAGGACTAGAAATTAACAAGTGTTTTTACAATTTTCAACAAGGGGAGGAAGGTAGGTTCTTCAACAGTAGTTGAGTTGCCTTGACATTCATTCTCTGTAAAATTCTAGGAAATATTAGTAAATGAATGGTTAACAAGTATTTAGAAAGGGAAGTAATGATTGCTACAAGACAACAGAGAATTATCAAGAAAAAATCATGCCAGATTAACATCACTCATATCCTTTTGACAGTGTAACTCACTTCCATAAACACAATTAAACTTGGAGTTCAAGTAAGGTATTTGACAAAGTCTAATGTTATCCTTGTGGATATGATGAAAAGAAGAAAGCTGGGCAATAGTATGATTAGATACATTTGAAATCCATTGAATATCCAAAAATGAAAAAAAAAAAGTAGTGATAAATAGATGGATGTCAAACTAGAGAATGCCTTTTAGTGGAAGACCACAGGGTTTTGTCCATGTGCCTGTTCTGTGTAACAGTTGTTTCAGTGGCATGGATGAAAGTATAGTGAGCATGCCTACTGAATTGGCAGCTGACACAAAGAGAGGGAAACCTAACATGGTAGATGAAAGAACCAGAATCCAAAAAATTCTTAGCATGTTAGAATAGTAGGAAAATACAGTAAAATGAAATTTAATATGAATAAGTTCAAAGTCCTAATTTGGGTTATCAACTACACAAATACAGGTTGGATTTATGTGAAAAAAAATTTTGAAAAGTTTCAGTAAGCTACATACTCAATGTGAATCAGTAATTTGATGTTGCAGTAAAAAAAAAGTAAGGAGATCTTAGATTATTTTTTACCACCAGGGTTCTTCAAGTAAAGGTTGTATAATTACTTGTGAAGGAAATGATTTTGCTTATGTATAGCTTACCTCTGTACTTAAGGACAGAGCCCTTACCATTCAACCAGTTACAAAACCACCTAATTATATTATCAACTAGTTCACATATTTCAGTCTTATACCTCTGGGGTCCCTAGGACTCTAGGATTTTAAAGAAATACCTTTAATGCCACCCAGATAGGTAGCTATTTTTCCCATCATTGCTTTGTCCAAGACAGCAAGTTTTGTTTTCAGATCTTCATGGTAAATAGTTTCTCCTTTAAAGCCATTTGTCAATTCCAACAACCCTCTGCTGACTCTGAGTTCCACTTTGGAGTTTTCATGAGTACACAATTTCTTAGCTTCCATCCGAGATACAATGGTATTTTCAATAGTTACTAGAACATCCTGAGAGGCAAAACAAACACTAGTTGTAAGCAAATATTAATAATTATTTTATTTAGATGGAATACTTAAATTTTATTGTATTTCTACAGGGGAGGTATATATAACAAACACTTTAAGTGTAAAAGAAAATTTTCTTCTCATGCCAGTGATAAAATGTTTTCATGCCAGTGATAAAATGTGTTAACAATAAAATGCCTATTAGCCTTAGAAATCAATCCACAATAGTTTCCAAAAACTCAACAAGTCAAAACTTTATATCTACTAATTTGTTTCAATTCAGCAAAATGTTCAAGGTATTTAGATAGTTAATGGACACAAAAATAAAAATATCACAGTCCAAACCCACAAGGAATTTAAAATCCATTGAGGGTGAAGCAATTTATACACAAATAAACATAAAGAGATCCATACAAAAAGCTGTAAGAAAATACTAAGAGGGAGGCACCAGTCTTCAGCTGTTAAAATCAGGGAAATCTTCAGACTAGAGGTAGTAACTAAGTTAGACTTTGAAAGAAAAAATAGTAATTTCAATATGCAAAGATATATAAGAAGTGTGTTCTAGGTTACATATTAAGAAAGAAGTATTTAAAGCTTAGCTAACAGTGGAAAAAAGTGAAACTAAAGGAAGAACAAAGGAAAGATGACTTGCTAGTTTCTTTTTTAGTCTCCACAAGTACAATATCCCCTAGGTGGTATCATCATTGCCAAAGAACTGGAGATGTGGAACACTAGTTTAGAGGACCAATATATCTTAGCTATATCCCTAATAATAATCATACACTTTAAAGACATGGTTCTTACAAATTGTTGGTTTACTACTACAATAACTTCTAATTCTTTGAATATAAAATCTATTTCCATTACCAAATCATTATTAGTAGACTATGTCATTGGTCCTTTGAGGAAATATACCTTTAAGAAAGTTAATCAAAGTAAAATCCTTTTTTTTTGGCAGGAGGAAGCATTGGCTTATTATATTCTATGTGTATAGATCTCATATAGGGGAATATACAGAAAAATAAGATAAATATATATAAAAAGGCTATAATGAATATTAGAAATAGCATGGGAAAGATATGAACATGTCATCCATCTCCAAATATAAAAATTGCTTTAAATTTGTTGAGTATATATAAACAATTTGTGAAAGAAAAGCTTAATCTGAATATATTATCTATGTTTTGTTAAAAGAAGTAAAGGATCTTTGGTAGATTAACTAAGTTGCTACTAGAATTTCTCACCATGATCCTTTCATTTTTAACAATACACATTTTTCTTTCCAAGTGCTCTAATTTCCAGTGCTTTCTGAAAGCTATTACACGGCATTTTGAGCATCACCTGAGTCAATCTCAACATGAACATCTACTTTAACATACCTCCTGTTGCCAGCTGGTATCTACTATGCACAAAGCCGAGAGTGAAATGTTAAGCTTTAATGGAGGCAGTCTGAATGATTGCCATCTCTAGATAAAACCCAAACATCTTTGGATTAGAGCTGCTATCAAGTAGCCAAAAGAATTGTTTTAATTCTCTTTTTTATCCCTACCCCTACTTGATGAGACGTAAAAGCATCAAATTCAAGATAGTAAGGAGAAAAGAGAGGGAAGAGACAAAGAGGGTGAAAACTTCATAAAGCTAAGTGGGCAGGCTCAGAATCAGTAAGAGGAAGCCAAGCAGATTCATTTCATTCCCTGAGTCCAGTGTTTCAAAGGATTGCGAGGAGCACCATGCCAATCATTTATTCCAGGGAACTGTCAAGTAACTGTATTTAATCCTGGCTATTTAAACAAAAAATTCCAGTTTCATTCCAATTCACTCTAGACTCTGCCACCCTGCACCTTTCAGAATTATTCATATAAAATCGAGGCCAATTTATATTTAGACATAAATTTATCAATTTATATTTTTTCCATCTAAGACAAATCATAACATAAAAATGAAGACACTACATTTCTTTAATTAATCTCCTTTCAAATGGAGCCAGCTATACAAGCAATAAGACAGTAGTACAAGCGTTTATACGTCTAAAAGACCACAATTGCTTTACTTCTTCCTTTTCCTTCCCCCAATTTCCCTCTTAAAGCACAAAAACTGGGTAACCATAACACTGAGACCAGAATGCCTCTCACAGATAACAGTAGTTTATGCTGATGGCAAGTCTAAGTAAAATTAATCAATAAGCCAATCAAAAAGCTTTTATTAAGTTCCATCTATGTGTCTGTGACTGTGCTAGGTCTTAGAGATATGAAGACAAAAATGAAATTGTCCCTGCTTTCAAGCAGTTTACATTCTATTGGGAGAGGCAACACGTGCATAAGAATATACAAAATATAAACAAAACAAATACAAGGTAATTTTGTTGGGCACTGTGTGTAGTGGATAAAGCACTGGTCTCAGAATCATGAAAAACCAAGTTCAAGTCCTGCCTCTGACACACGACATCTGACTGACTGACTATACACAAGACCCTTAAACTCTCAGAGCTCCCCAACTTTGTGAGACAAGAAATTACTGATCTGCATTGGTCAAGGCAGTTTCCTACACCAATGAAATACCAGCTTTGCTGCCCCCAAAACTTTGCTGAGTAGGTTCAAATGTTTGTTGTCTCTATTCCTATCTGGGAATAAAAGTATCCAGCTCAAAATGCTGTCTAATAGCTTTCAGAAAGGATTCTAGTTTGCCGTATGACAGATATCAGTAACTGGATTCTTATGGCCAGAAGCTGAGATGATGGATTTACTATCTCCACCAGATTTCTACTCCAGAACAGTTTTTAAGAGGAGGTGACAAAAATATGACCCCACTCACTGTCTTTAGTTAGTCTTCTTCCTGATCACACAGACTCTTGAGTTTCAAGGTATAGATGGCCAGAAGTGTGGTAGATGTGGGGAATCTAGCTGCATAAAGACCAAATTTCTAGTTTATGGCCTGCTATAAAAGGGCAGAGCCAGAACTTCATTTAGAATGTTCTCCCCATGAATACTTTGTGAATCTTAAGCATTCATTACAGTCCCTTGGAAATAAGGAATACAGTTAAGTGCAAATTAATTATTCTAATTATGCTACTAATGACTGGGTAGAAGCAAAATCAGTTGCCTTCAGGTGGTCAGAAATGGGAATCGAATGGGATGAGAGATGTCCTGAGTATCCAACCTTCTGTATTCCTAATAGAAGGAGGGAAACCTCCTCCATTTCCTTTTCACAGTCACACAGTGTTAAGTGTTGATGAGTGGTACATAAGAAAAGTCTTAAACTCTATTAGCAGCATTTATTCTCAGCTTATCAAATGACAACTTGTGCCCAGGTAAAAGGAGAGAGGTGTAAAATAGCAGCATATACTCTATACATAAGCAAAAGGACCATCAGTCCTCATTTCCACACTACCACTCTTCAGCATCCTAGACATTTGACTGGCAAGTAATAGTACCGGTATCATTTTGGTCAATGACATTGCAACAGAGAATCATGAAGCTGAAAAAACCATTAAGATTCATTTAATCTAATGCCTCTCATTCGAGGAGCAAGTCGTTACTGAATTGACTAATTGGATATATTGTAATCTTCATCAATCAAGGGTATACCCATATCATTGAGATTACAGATCCATTTGTGTATCTGAGTCTACTGAAAATATGGCTAAAAAGATAACGATGGCTGCTTTGAATAAATTTCCTTTGCCTTCCCTGTGTTTTGATGTAAAATTTACTTAGAGTAAAATCACCTGTAATTCTGAGGAGCTGGAGTCTACCAAGGACAGTGCAAGAGGAACAGTGTCACCAGAAACCAAGGCAAACATGACACCAGTGCCTGTAGATGGCCGGATATCCAAGGTTACATTTATCTGCCACCCTTCAGCAATGAGCACATTATCTGCACCAAATGAAGCAAGGAGAGAGAGAAGCATACATGAAGATATTATTGAGACATTCCCCAGAAGAACCAAATGACTTGGAAGGTGACTAGAGTATCTGTTGGCTACCCTAAGCCCATTTTACCTGCATCTTTACATAACAAGTGAAAGATCACACTTTCGTCCAATCTCAGCAATCAAAAGATCCCCGAGTTTCTCCAAAGGAGACAAATTAGAAAAATTCAAAGTGGAAAAATACAAATCAGGTTCTGATACTTTAGTTTATCTCTGTCTCTTTTTGCTGTGTTGGTTGTTTTTAACTTCAAACAATGGCATTAACTTCTCTTCACTAGCTTTTAATAGCAAGATGCCTTTCACAGTGATTATGGCTTAAGAGATATTGAATGTTGTCCCATTTTATAGTCTGCTATTGGGAAAAAAAAGCTGTTTACTGTGCCATATTTCTTTTTTTTTTTAATTGATTCTACTTTCTGAGCCTCTCAGGGGAAAGAAAAAAGGGAGGTGTGATGGTGGTAATGGTGAAATATAGGAGCTGGCATAAGGGTGTAGAGGAGGAGTGTAATAACTTAATAGAGAAATGTTCTAAACATACATTATACTATGTAATTAGGACAACAATCATTGTGCATTAGAAGCAAAGACAATCTTCAAGGTAAAATCAATTCAATTCAATAAGCATTTATTAAGCACCAATTCTATGCACAGTTCTGTGCTAGATACTGGTTATAGAGAGAAATTAAAGTCTCTGTTCTCATGACAGAATAGACAACCATGTTAAATAAAATTAACAAAATAGGTAAAATATAATGGACAGTGTTGGCAGTGAATGATTACAGTCAAAGCATATAAACTTCCTTTTTAACCACAATTATTTTATTAGGCCATTTTGCTTAATTATTTATGGAATTATTCTCCATCAGTGAGATTTATTCTCCAGGACTGAGCAAGAAGTAGACTAAGTATTTGTTGTTCAAAAAAAGTATCAAGAATATTTTAAAGGAAATACAAATATTCTGGAATCCTACTTTCATTGGGAATGGGTTCATGAGGGGAAAAAATTATATATATACATATATATGTAAGAGTATAAAATTATTCTAAATTTAGAAAAAATAAAATGCTAACCTCTTAGCATTTTATAGAGAGGCGAGAGGATAAGGGAGGGATCCTTGGAGGCAGGGTAGGTTAAGTAATAGGAGGGCAAGGTAGAGGGTAGAAGTAGAGGAGTCAGGAGGGACAGGAAATAAGACATAAGCACAAAACATAAATAAGGATCAGGAGTAGAATTTGTTAGATTTAAAGGAGCAGGGGTGATAATCATGATCTCAGACGAAGTTAAGGCTAACATAGATTTAATCAAAAAAAGAAAAATAGAGAATCTATATTATATGTCAGCCATATTTGTCAACATTGTTTTGGACTATTCGAAACAACTACTACATAGTATAAGGTGGGAATATTGCTGTGGTGTAGGAGATGATGTGGACTTGGAAAAATATGGAAAGACTTAGACTATGAAGGAAGAGTTATCTACCCTCAAAGAAACAGAGGATAAATAAGTATAGTCTGGTGTTACATGGATATATATGCATGTACAAGTCTATATATGGGTGGGATTATCGATATCTAAGCACATGTATATGTAAGTCAGTGTATGTATATATGGGTACATGTATATTTTTGTGTATATATCTCTATGTTTGTATATATTTATGCATGTGTATATACGTGCATATGTGTGTATGCATATATGTGTGTGTATATATCTATATATCTGTAAGGGGAAATGAGGAGATCCTCCCCAGCCCCTTGCATGACCACCTCATGACCTGACATAAGGAATGTAATTTAAAATTAGTATGTGTGACTGGGAGTACCAAGAGAACAGAATATCAAAGAACAAACAAACTACATTACCAGGGTGGAACAACTCTTATCTCAAGGAAAACATGTACGTGCTCAAGGATCTGGCCCATCCTTGGATACGTACATAAAAAATAGGCATCTGGAGCTTTGGCCAAGTTCTACCTTTGTTCTAAGGTTGTTTTCCCACTGTTTGTATAGATATAAAAAGGGCCATTTGGGAAAGGGATTTTTGGAGGTCTTTGCTTCAAAGATAGGGACGCCCACTCTGTTGACTTTCCCAACCAGGACCCTAATGACTGTCTTCTGAAGTCTCCCAGTGGCTGTGTCAGGTGTTGGAGCTCATCTGGTTGGTGATGTATCTATTTTTTCTCTGTTTTATTACTCTTTTTTTGTTCTATTTTGATTATCATTCACTGGATCATATGCATATGTACATTATTCTAATCCCTACTTCTCTGTCGCCTTAAGCATTATCAAATAAACCCAATTACTCCTTAAGTTTGTATAAGTGTCATTGTCTCAAGATCGGAACCTAAAGTGAAAGTACTGCGAAGTCCGTAATCCTTTTCAATTACAATATCTATATGCCTGTATGTCCACACTTAATTGTAGTCTTCTGGTGGGGGGAGAGGAAAGGGGAAAAAAAAAAAACAAAGTAAAAAGTGCACAGTAGAGAACCAAAGAAAACTTACAAGGAAGCAAAGGAAAGATGGACAGCTCTGGACACAAGGGATAGTATTTATTATATAGACTTTCTTGAAATGGAAATTTATTGTGGTATATTTTGAATTCTCTATCATGTTCTGCTGTGCACACAGTAATGCTGTTTTTCTTATTTTGTATTATTTTAGTTTTAGTACTTAAGTTCCTTTTTTTTTCTTCTTTTGTATTTAAGTTTAAAATAAAAAATTACAAAAAACCCCAAATAAATTAGGAAAAAAAATACATGTTGTATGATATGTTGGAAAGAGTCCTGGATTTGTAGTCAGAGAACCAAAGTTCAAATTCTAATACTGCCACTTATTGTGTGACCTTGGACACACAGTAAGTGTGTCCCTTCTCTGTGCCTCTGTTTCCTCACTGAAACTGGGAGGGTCAGAATAGACCAGAGGAGTCTTAAACATTTGTTGTATCATGAATCCCTTTGGCACCCTGGTAAAGCCTCAGAATAATGTTTTTAGATGCGTAAAATATGAAAGAATATAAAGGAAACCAATTATGTTGAAATAGACGTAATTTTCCCCACAGACCCTCTCCTCTCAAAAGATATCCACAAATTCCTTTGGGGAGGGATCATAGACTCCATATTAAGAGCCACAGGACTAAACAATCACTAAGATACTTTTAAATTCTATATCTTATGGTCCTATTATCCCATACATGAATAAAATTTCCCTCATTAAATGTTACTACTTCAAAATATTTGAGACTTCATTAGTATGGATCCTAAGCATTCTCCACCTTAGTAGATGATTTCATGAGTTGCTGGGCCAAAAACATTCATTATTTGGTGGCCAGCCTTTTGATGATGCCTCTCCATCTTGTATTCCATTGACATAATCTTAGAGAACCCAAGTTTGCCTCTACACCATGATAAGTCATCAATAAGGACTAAATATTAGAGCTACCCTAGAATTCTGCTATAAATCTGGTTTATTAAGTAGGAATATTTGAATATGAATATAAGAATATATAGCTATAGTTTTATGATTGTCAGTTATTAAAAGAAGGTATGTTATTAAAAGACATATATAGCATCAATAATAAAATTTCAAAACTTTAAATGCATCAATTTCTTTAACTTGGAAGAAAGGGAATAACTTACTATAGTCAATGTCAAATTGGGCAACTCCAGAACCAGGATAGTAAGAGCCTTTCTCCACAGAGACCAAACAATGTTTGTTTTGTTTTCCTTGAATAATTTCTTTTACTCCTGAAGCTCCTTGATTCATCAAGTTCCATCCACGAATACATCCATCTAGGCGAGGATTAATCTACATAAGATTTGGGACAGAGATCAATAAGTCAATTTTTCAACACACCCAAGTTGGACAGAGTAAGCAAAATACCAACAATGTATTTGTTTAACTATTCAACAAACTAGGTTTTCACTTTTCAGGGAAATTCCCTTCTTTGCTAAAACATCCCAACGTTTTAGTCATTCTCAATTATTAAGAGATATTTTCATTTAGCTAAAAATATTGGAATCAAAAGTATTTTTTTTAACTCCTTTCCTACAGAAATTTGAGTCCTTATTAAACTATTTAGCACTTGGTTACACAGATATACTGTATATAATATCATTGTAAGGTCCTTCTCCCACCAAGATCAGATGACATAGTCACAGAGTTTAGTCAGAGATGATGAGGTTTTTAAAGTGTCAACAGCTAGCAATGTCTTTATGAAACATCTTCCTCTTCCTCTGATGGATTCAGAAAGGGTAATGCATTGGCTGAACTGAAAACTGGTTACAACTCATCGAGCTTTAAAAACCTAAGTCCTAAAGATAAAGTCAACAAAGTTCTAGAGTTGGAGACAGTGGAGGCAGGAGACAACAGATAAGGAAGGGCCTAATTTGGTGGAAGGAATGGATTTTTCCCCCCACCCACCGCACCCCCCAAATCTGCAACAGCAATGTGGTTATTCTCCCAGACATCTATCCATATGTTGTAAAGTCAGATCAAGAGGGTTTCAAGCACATTGAGACAGTAAAGACACATATTTCTGACATACAAATACATATAATCAGTCACTCAAAACAGCTCCAAAGCTAAGAAAACAGTAAGGAAGGACCTAACTTGGCTGTCTATTTATCATAGAATTCAGAAACAGTGGAAGCATCAGACATCAGAGATTAGAAAGGATTCAGAGTTGGAACAGACCACACAGCCTGCAAGTAACAGAACCTTCATTAGAACTCAGGCTTACTGATTATAAATCCAGCACCTTTTCACAAAATCATATTGACTCTCCCTAGGAATCTGCAGTTTATATTAGCTCAAAGTCAAATCAAATTTTGTTTAAATGAAAAAAATTCTCATTTTCCCCTCCTAGCTCTGATCTTGACTTTACAGACTTTAAAACCACGCCTCAGATGCTAGGTCTCATTCATGAGTTTTCATCAGTGCCCGGAGCCTTCTTGCCCTGAAATATCCAAGTACCCTTATGGCTTTCTCACTCTGAAATATCCATCTGCCATGCCTAGAAGTGAATTCTCTGTAGAGCATCAATTTTGTGGAAGGGCCTATGCCAGCCACCATTCCTTCCATTCCAGGCACTGCTGCTAACTTCCAGACTTCCCCCTTTCCCCAGGTTTTAGCTCCCTTTTGTATGTTGTTTTCCCCATTAGAATGTAAGCCCTTTGAGGGCAGGGACTGTCTTTTTGCTTGTATTTGTATCTCCAATACTTAGCACGGTGCCTGCTACATAGTAAACATTTAATAAATGCTTGTATCCTTCCTTCCTAAACTGTTTTTAAGCTATATTATGGTATTAATTTTTCTGCAAGTATTACACAAACTATCATTGCTGATATTTAAATATCTTTGAAACAATTAAAGGACTAGAAACATACCACAGGTACTAAATGTTATGAGGTTGAATTATTACCAATTTCATAAGACCATTTTCCATCGTACGAGGTAATCCTGCAAAGTACACTTTAGTTTCCAGAAAACCATTGGTAGGTTTGAAAAGACGTGAAGGGCTGTTTATATTCATCACTGCTTCTTTGGCTATTTTGACACTTATACTGTTTTCTAATTCTTCAACAGACACCTAGAATCAAAAGGAATACATTATAGTTAGTTGCAGTGTGAAATGTTGGGTTTTATAAATTAAATTATTCTTAGAGCAGACAACAAAACTTGAATTAAATTAATAGCATTTGATCACAAATCCAAAGCAATGTGGAAAAGACAGATAAAAACACCAGTCTGCCACAGAATATTTTAAAAAATCCCAGTGTCCTACAAAGTGGAGTATAAACAAAATGAAATGCATTATATTGTAGAATGGGTAGATGACCTTTTTAGTTATTGTTTACATATGTATTTGGGACTTTTGAGGGTATAGGGCAACTGTAAGATATTGAACATTTGTCTAATCAGTGACTTAAGAATGAAATTTTAAAGTAAGTAAAGGAGAACTGGCACTTCAAAAGTCCTATCTATTACACAGGAGATACATACACACACACACACACACACACACACACACACACACACACACACACA